CTCGCCCTGAATCGGAGTCCCAAGATGCACTTCTGCCGACAGAAGGTCACACAGCTTGATGGAATTGGGACAGCGCTGCTAAAAGTATCCTCGCGATCCAGGCCGACAGTTTAATAACCGATTTAAATGCAAGCCAGCATCCAGTCAACATTCATGCGCATCACTCGGTTAGCTGGCGCTAACATATCAATCTATCCGATAGGCAAGATATCCGCGAATCAAAGAAACGGGTTGTTTGAGCCCCATCGTCCGTTCCTCGGCTGTCTCCCGTTTCGTCCCCAAAGCCTCCTCCGTCCTTTGACCTCTGGCTGTGATCAGAAAAACAAAGCTGTGAGGCTTCTACGTGACGTGCAGGAGACTAATGGGAGGATGGAGACCTAAAAGGAGGGAAGGGACAGGACGCCCCGCCGGTGGAACGCACTCGCACATTTGAGGGCTAATGAGGGCGGCAGCGGTGCCGTTAGCGGGCGGAGAAATGGGGCTTGGAAATGAAATGATTCCGCTATTATACCCTTCAGAACAAAAAAAAATGAATTATTAAAAACTCACATTTTCCATCTTGCTCTCCACACCAGAAATTCCAGAGCCATTGTCGGCTCGCAGGATTAACGGTACTTGAGGGGCGCGGAGGGAAAGTGGATTATTTTATGTTTGAAGCCGGGGTCGTATTTTGGTGCTGAGAGCTCACGCTCATTGTTATGGTTCTCTTAAGAGCACCAATGACCTAATTACTGGACCCATTACGGGTGTTGGCGAGTCACATCCACGGCCTTTTTAAGCAACTTCGCAATTCTTTTAACCATTCAAAATAACCCCAACGGATTGTACATTGCATGAAAATGTAATCAGGAAAGCATCCAAACGAATTGAGGGGATTTGGGATAGGAGTGATGGCACAAAGGATCCTAGTGGGACTATTTTTAAACACCCAGTTGTTTGTCTTTGACGAAGATTTTCGTCAGGGAGGGAGACGGAGGGGCCGAGACATTGGGAGCCACAGGGGGAGGCGTCCACTGCTCCAAGGGGAATTGATGCCAGATGGTGTTCTCATTGAACAAATTAAAACAAATGGAGAAAATGGATCGGCGGGTTTGGTCGCTCCCACAGTCGCTCGTGGTCTTTTCCGCATGTGAGACCCAACGGGCTGCTGGCCGTACAGTTATTCAGGCCGTTCATCAGCCGCTAATCTGTCCGGCCCGCTCTCGCTTATCAAGTGAAAAAAGGAGCAGCCGCGAGAGTCCAGGTGAATAATGCCTTCAGGAGGCTCTGCGGTTCTGCTCCGACCAAGAAAAATTCTCCTCGAGAGGAACATTACGCGACGACCATGGAAACACATCACGGCGCGTCTTTTCTCTCGCCGTTATGACTAAAGGTCCCTCCGGCGCCCAAAAGGGCAAATCAGTTCCATGCAGCGATACATCAACCTGCAGAGCCGCGAAAACGAATCCCCTGTTCGTGCCGGCGGTTCGCTACTTAAAAAAAGAGAGAGAGTTGGTGTGTGGTTGTCATGACGATGCACAACCTGAACGGTATGGCGAGGTGATGGAGCGAGTCGGCGCGAAGAAGTGGTGGGATCGGCACCGGACGGGAGCAAGAGATTTCAACGAGGAGATTGTTCCGTGGTGACGTGGTTGTTGGCTGGGGGAGTTGTGATCACACACACACACACACACACGCATGTATCTGCAGGACAGAAAGAAGGATGGGAGCAATCATCTGATCACATCTGTACTTTACAGGCGCTCTGAAAAAAGCCGCCATTGGCCGAGTGATCATCCTCGGAGCCGTCCGCTCTGATGCATCTTCTGCCCGTCTCTTCCCTGATGAACTGAGATTATATGTTAGAGATAAAGTGCCTTTGCTATTGGTGATCAAACTCTCGGTTTTCACAATGAATAAAGCTGCAAAACTTCATCTATCACGTAACTGAAGGCGGAGCATGTCGAAATGAAATGATTCCCCTTCATTTGGGTTTATCTTCACGAGTTCTCCTCTAACGGGGCTTTTCAGCGCGTCGTGTGATGGCTTTTGTTTTTCGCGCGAGAAAAGATCCTCACAACGACGAGCTTTTGCTCTCTGCTGCCCTTCTTCTCTAGTGCGGGAGCAGGACACCCTTCCCCTGGAGCTTTCCACACACACACACACACACACACACACACACACATACACACTTCCTCTTCCAGAGGACAGAAGAAAGAAAGCTGGGGTTACAACTTTTCTCTCGGGCAACCCCCCCCCCAAAAAACCCGCAACCTTCCCTCTATCTGCAGGCCCGGCGCAAAGATCATCCCACCTGCTTTACCCGTCGAGCCGGATTTGAAAGGATGAGCTGGAATGTAACTTTCCTGTCTTTGTGGGTTTCTAGGCTCGTGAAGTTACCACACGAAGCCTTTTTAGGGCGCAGCGAGGAGCTCCTCAGACGCTCCTGCTCTTCAAAGTGTGTGCGGACGCGTCGAGAAACGCTTCCGCCGGGATGAAAGTTCTACGAGGCACTGAAGCTGGATCCTCTCCTACCGAAAGGAGGGAGATGCAAGCACATTGTGCCCAGCGTGCAGGCCTGCAGGCCGAACAGCTCGGCACGCACACACAGGATTTTGTGAGATTCTGAAATACTACTTTTAAGGGCTCCTGGCAGGCGTGTAGGTCACTTTTTTAATTACCCGCGGCGTTGACATCCAAAAGTGAGAAAACTATTAGTGTTTTGTTTTAAAAGGCTTTCCTCTGCAGTAGAAAATGCTGCCGACGGTGAATATTATCACGCAGACCCTCGCAAACCTCCGCCGAGAGCCATTTTCGCGCCTTCAATTCCAGAGTAACAATCGTGTGGATAATTGACGGCCCGTATCCGTCACTGGACCGGCGGTGCTGCTTTGCGGTTACTGGCAGGTGAAGCGGGAACGGGCATCAAAGGCGTCGCAGCGAGAGTAATGGCCGTCGGACCGCAGGGAGGCTACACGGCTCCGCTCTGCACCGAGCGCGTCGTGTAGCTCTTCGGGAACGGGGGGAAAGCTTCCACCTGGAGTGCCGTTTTTCTCTGCAATGGAAAATGGTAGAAAAAGACTGCGTTTCTCCCGTGACGGTTTGCTGCCCATTTCTTCCAGGAAATCATTTTAAAAGAGCAGGCGCGAGAATTTGCGGTTTAAAACTTTAGACAACAATAAAAATCTTGACCTGGAATCCTTAGTTAGCAAACGGGCGTTCTTCTCATAACTGGGGGGAAAAAACTACACTTAAAAAATGGCCACCAATACTGACATTTGCCAACGGATCGGTTGGATTTAGGAAGAAGACATTTTCACTTTCAGTCTTAACGATGATCCTCCAATGAACCCCTCGGCTTCGTACTCGTCTAAACAGCTCAGAGTAAAAGCGTAGAGAATAAATCGAGAGAAGCTGACAGATAACACAAAGCAACCAGGCGGTTTTTCCCCCCGCGGTTGAGAGTTGACTCAGACAATCTTTTTTTTTTTTTATTCCTATCAATTCCCAAGTGTTGACATGAAGATGGAAAATAGGACTCCCGCTGAGTGAGCAGCATGGAATCAAAATGATAAAAACACGAGGAGAGACGGGGTCCGAAGGTAGAGGGGGCTCGTGATGTAACAGCGGGTTGGAATGAAAGCCCCTCCAGGTGTGCTCAAACTAGTTTTATCTGTAAAACAGAAAGAGAAATGTATTTGGAGTGAAGCTGGATCAGACCGTGTCCAGATGTCACGGTGGCTGTGAGAACACGTAACGTAAGCTTAAAAAGGGATTATTGTGGGGGCAAATCTTTTCTTGAGAACAATGTCTTAGATAGTACGGACGTGTCATAGCCTACGTACTATTTGTTAAACTATCACACAGACTGAATTAGGTCAGAAAAAAATAGTCATGAAATCTCGTCACGCAGGTAGCAACCAAAGAAAAGGAAAGGTGCAGAGAAAAGTAGAATAAGATGAATGGAAACAGCTATTTTAGTGCTTTTGATAAAGTATTGATGAAGAAAAAGACATAATCCCCAGTGGTTTCAAGAGAAAATTTGAGAGCTGAAAGTGAGACAGAAATAAGAGAAACTTGAAATGCAACTTCAACTTGGAAGAAAAGATCCCAAACAAATGTGCCGGCATTTAAAACCAAGATCTACGACTTTTTTTTTCTAAAGGAATTTATTAATAATAAATTTAAATGTATTAAAATATTAACCCTCTACTTTGTGTCCAGCATGTAGATAATCTGTAAAAGATCAGAGGAAAATGCACACATTGACCCAATGAGTGGATGCGCAGGTCTTGCTCCCCTGTGCTGTAAATGCAATGGGACGATGACGACGACGACGACGACGATGATGATGATGATGATGATGACGATATTTAGCCAATGACCAACTAACATTATGGATGGCTCCATCACTAATGTAGAACATAAACTGAAGATCTGAAGATCAACTATCTAATTGAGTGTTAATATTTGAGGGGGGGGTCTCTTAATCCCCCACTGGTTCACTTTGTCCCGTTGAGCTCCGGCTGTGTGATCAGCACGCGACACAGTCAGCGCGGTGTGAAGCAGGTCGATGTCCGACGTCACGGCTCGTCTCCTCACACACGCGCACACACACACACACACACACACACACACACACACACACACACACACACACTACATATTACATTTCACAGGCTATTCGGCGAACGCGTCGATTTCTTCTTGTTTTTCCCTATTTTTTTCCGCAATGGAGGGCTGTTAAACAAAGTTCCTATAGACGTCTGAGAATCTTTTTTATTATTATCATTCTGTGCATCGCGCATAGATGCCCCGTGCAATGAAAGTGCAGAGCGGCGTTAAGATTCCGAGCGAGCATTTGGAGAAAACAGCACTTGTTCTTTGCCCAAGTAGGAAAGAATAACGCGTGCGCCGCTTTAGAAACACACGCACAACCAGAATGAACCAAGCACTAGACCCCCCCCATCCGTCCCCCATGAGTAATTAGATTTAAAACAAAAATAAAAAATGAAACTCACCACCCCGGTGTCCAGCTGCTCGGTAGTCTGGGACGGAGCCGCTCGGGCCAGAGGCAAAACCCCCAAAATGTGCAGCAACAGCAGCATCTCCGCGGAAATATTCCTCATTCCACTTGCGCGCGACGCGGAGAAATCACGATGCCCTTTGACGAGCGGGTCGCGCGCGCGGGGCTCAGACACCGACCCCCCGCCCCCCGGACAGGCGCATCCACGGGGGACGAAAAACCACCACGCCGGCACGCTGGTTGCAAACGATGCCCCCCGAACAAGTCTTCCTCACTGTGGAAACACCTTCACACCGGTGACACCCGACAGGAAAACTACGAACAAGTGGTCTGAAGCCGAGCTGAACTGCGTCTTGTGGTCTCCTGTCGAGTCCATAGCAGGTAATGCGTGTCCCTCTCTCCCCCCCCGCCCCCCTCCCGGAGCGAGACGCACGGGCTGCCACTCTCCGCTGGAGACGGAGAGAGCAGCTGCGTGCGGCTTTTTGTGAGATCAATCAAAGTTGGCGACATTAACCTTTCGCACTTCCGGCTGGGATGCTCAAAATAAAAGCCGACGCCGGTGGAATTTAAAGTGATGAATGAACACGAGCGATCTTCCCCCTGCGTGTAGATGCACTGTGGTCTGATCAAGTTTCCAAGCATAATTAGAGGTTTGAATTGCCAGTTAAAACATCTTGAATGTGTACAAATAAGGGATGTTTAGCTGATGTGGTTTGAGGAGTACCAATACGAGTCGTTGCTGCTCTTTACAATTTTATATCGCTGTATTTCGTTGTAATTTGAAAAACTCCGCGGCTGTAATAAGGTGTTGTTGTGTGAGGTACATTAACTAATTAACACATAATTATTCCACTGTCATCTTTCAAAGGGTCTATTGAATCAAACAATGCAGAGAGGCAATATAATAGTAGGTTGTTGATGTATAACAAGTAGTTTTAGCCAGCATTAACCTTTCAGCCCATGCTTTTATTTTGAAGCTTAGTTTTCAAACTTCCGGCCGTTTACAGTACGACACTTTGGGTGTCTTTTTGAATTTATTTACACAGCTGGGATAATATTTGAGTTCGGCTTGAGGTGCCCTTTCAGTAAATCCATTTGCCCTTTATTCATGTCATCCAAAACTATATAATCAATAACATAATTAAAGTCTGGCCATATTGTTGCAAGTAATGTTGTGTAATGTGATACTGGAAAATAGATGGACATTAATATACATCAGTTAGTGATTTTACTGATTACTAAGTAATAACGCTATTATAATAAAAATAAGTTTATTTACTTAATGACGTTTCATATTTTATTGTGACTTAGCAGTGTGAGTGGGCAGTGGGCAAAATAGCCCCACACAGCACCATAGTGCTGTGTCCTCATTCAAAAGAAATTCATTTAAAAGAAAGTCTGCTGCCAATTGGAAGAGCTCGAATGACAAGCAATTCTTTTTTATTTTCTCAGTTTGAAGCTTAGCATCACAGTGGCGTAACGACAAGCACGATCCTTCACATTCAATCCCCCCAAAATGGCAGTTATCCACCATCACGAAATGTCCTCCAGCCACATTCCAAAAAAAACGTATTAGTCGTAGCGGTGCTGACCCGTAGACGACCCCAGCGCCGCTGCGCTCACACCTCTCTCTGGAGGGCGCGTGTAAAAGGGACATTGTGGATTGGAATTTGGAGCAGTTGAGCTCAATTGTAAGAATCACCATTGACTGCCTCCACAACATCAAGGTGAATTATCCATTTAAGGCCTGAATCGTGATGCGTATGCACGCACACGCCTCGGAGGCCACCCGCGTTGCAGACGGCCACGTGCCGTCGTCTTAACTATTCTATGTTGACTTTGACTGACAGTCTCCTTAACCCGCAGTGCATTGACTCTAATGGTTCACATCCTCATGTCTCCACTGCAAAGAAATGCATAATCAGTGTGTGAACACAAGCGCCCACGTACACAAATTAAGCGTATCCAGTGTATCTCCTGGGTGGCCCTATGGAGTTTTTTTTTTCAGATAGAATTCAATGTAATACCTAATAGCTATATCCTTTTCTTTTTTCCACCGGTAGGTTCCGACGCGCAGGGAAGAACCGAGCAATGCATTGAGACCCAATTAAATCCACATATCAGTAAATATAGCTCCCTTCTTGACACGCAGAAAGGGCGCTTGTCACTGAAATGCACAGATTTTGTACGCCTCATTACACTTCTATATTCCCCATGTGGAGTGTAAAAAACAGAAAGGTAACCGCAGAGGTTTTCTACCTGAAAACATTAACGGACACAACTCCATCAGCCGACTCTTTGCTTCCCATGAGGAAAAGTGAATGAGTGTATTAAAAAGTTATGTTGAATATAACATTTCCCTCCATCCCTTCCCTAATCTGGGAACATTTTCATCAGTCGAGCCACAAAAGGCCAGACGTGCATGCACACCTCCTCGCCTCGGCTTATTCAGATTCCTTACAGCAGTCGTTCATCACTGGAGAAAAAACGTGAAAAATGTGCTTCTGCACATTTGTGCTGTTTGCAGAAGGCTTCAAATTCAGTCCCAGTTAGACTCAAAGGCGCCGCATTATAATAATTCTAGCAGCCTAATATATTGTTTACTGTATGTCTGCTGGCAAAAAGTAGCTTCAGTCATTCAGTTGACCATTAAGACGAAACCTCCGTTTACTCATCTCCGTCTCCTATATATGCACATTTCACCTGGAGTGTTTCCCAACCGTGACAACCTTTCACGGAGCAAGAAAAGCTCATTTACCTTTTGTCAGATCGTAATGCGTATGAAAAGCCTTTGCTCAGTGTGCAGGCGGAGTGGCGAGAGTCTGTCGGCCGCCATTTCAGCACTCGCGTTTCATTATTCGCTGTATCGTTTTGTGCCAAGTTGGCTGCAGACCCCCTTTCACTGGTGAGGATAAAAAATCCTGAAGATTAATTCTTATTGTCAAATATCTGTCCGTGGCCATCGAATCATGTCATGCATTATGAGGGAGGAGTGACGTCGATGTTTTTGTGTAGCTTGGTGTGATGTTTCATTACGGAGACAATGTGTGCTGTTCTTAATGATGTAATTCATACTTAATGAATTTTGCATTCACACTGTCAGCTCTACTTAATGGGCTTTCACATTAGTTAAGTTACCATTGCGATATAAAAAAAATAGCACAGTGTTCATTAATCTCTTTGTCTCATCTACTGTGTGTGTGTTTGTATGTGAATGTGTTCCACGTTAAGTTTTAATAAAGTTCACTTATTTAAATATGCAACAATATGCCTGGCAAAGCCTGTCTGGGACGGGAACTTGCACCACCTGTTCACCCAATAGACGGTACTTAACGAGGATCTATCAATTCCAATTGGTTTGGATTTAAGATCTCCGATTTGGCTTTGAGTCCCGTTATAATGGGTTCCAAAAATTACAAGCTCTCTGTAACTGCTTTATCACCCCTTTGAGAAATGAGAGGGAACACTTTTGGCAAGATGTCGTTAGGTAGAGTACTACTGTAAATGGAGCAGTTTTTAATAGCTGTAAAAAAAGCTGATAGTCTGTATGACAACGTTTCCTGAAAGAGCAGCAGGCGGCGTTCACAGAGATCAACATCTGACCAGAGGGCGGATTTCCTCAAAGGCGCTTCGGTGGTTTTGAACTGCTTTGTGAAATCTCTATTGAATGCACTCAGACTCCGTTTCATGTCGTGAGCTCTGAAGCGTCTCTTTACAGGGGATTCTGCAGCAGTATATAAGACGGCTCCTTGTCCTCAATATTGGGATGTTTATTTCCCCCCAGAAAGGTATTACATGCATGTTTCTAATTGTAATCTCAGCGGAATAGAATACAATCCACATGCAGACAACACGGTGGAGTTCGAGGCCATATCATTCACCACATGTGATGCTGCACAATCAGCTAGAAGCTCACTTAAGATCCAATGACCTAAAACATCAAGTCAGTCACTTCTGGCGTGAAAGCAAAGTAACCAAGAAGTTCCCTTTTTAGACATTTATTTGAATGGGAGACAGACATGATTAAAAGGCTCCTCCCACCCTGCCTCCACTCATTTTCCACTTTTATTTTTACAAAAGGGGGTATTTCTGTCACATTTCTGAGCACTGCTGCTGCTGTGAATCACACAAAATACGAATTCATGGACAAAAAGAGTCCTATTAAGTTGTTTGGTATATAGTTCGTCCTACAGTCCTTCGCAGAAGGGGAACGGGGTATTATAAAAAAATAAATAGATACAACTTCCATCTAATCATCTCGGGAAGAATGCATGGAAACAGCCTGGAGAGGTCACTGGTCTATCGGGGTAGAGAGAAATTGAGTTTTGTTCCACGATAATCCAGAATCCATCAGCCTGAGGACGTTTTTCTGTGGAAAACTTCCATCCTGCAGTTTTTAAAGTTTTATTTGACTTTTCACATTCAGCTAAAAGTGCCCCTGCATCAATTATGCCCACAGATAAGTGATAATTACATGGCGAAAGACCAAAGCAGTATCTATTGATCAAGGCTATTACTGCATCTTATAAAAATCTATGATGTATTTCTATGATTTACCGTAGTTAGTACTTTATTTCCCAGACAGATAAACTGCTTTATGCACAAAGAAAAGTCAGAGTTAAGCAGGGCCAGATTGCTGCACTCCTCTTATGATAAGGACCTCATTTTTAAAAGCCCCTCGAGAGCTGCGTTCCACCATGAGGTTATTTTACATGTGTTTTAGTGATTACAGTGTGTGTTTACAGTATGCATGTGTTTCCACTTAAACAATTTAGCCACATTGAACTGATTTAGCTGCTGATCATCATTGTCATCATAATAAAATTGTCCTCATTGTAAGACCATCATAACAGTGACCAGTCTGAGTATCTATTAATACATATATTAATATATCTACCAAGGTAGATGAGGTTAGACACAAGCGTCATTTTTAAATTCTCCCCATATGGGATCATTAAGTTTATGTTAGTGATGAAGGGGCGCGCCTGTCTGCTCTTCTCATCAACCTATGAAACAAATACACTTTCATTAATTTCGGCTCCAGTTCCGAATTCCGGTTTCCAATAGCAACGCTGGAATTATTAGTTAAATAATCTGCAGCTTAATTAAGTTATATTTTTTTAAGGTTTCATTAAAACAAATGGAATAGAATATTGTTGTCAGATGTTCCCTCGTTTCCTTTTTTTGCCAAAGAGAAGCATGATACCGTTCTCTTAACCTTCTGGTAAATATGAAGCCAAAAAATACTCCAGAACGCCAATGAACATGGGTTCATGAACCTATGTTTTTGACTAAAGATATGATTTAAAAGCCATGTGGCTTTTGCGAGCTTTGGACTCAACCAGTCGAGTTGTTTTCCAGCCAGTGCGAAGGAGAGCGTCCGACATCCGTGAGATCACATAAGCAGCCAGAGGAGCCATCATGCAGCACTCCGACATTACAAAGGAGGAAA